TAAATATGGTGCTCATTTGTCGGGCCAACATATTGACCATATCATGGTTACTTTCGTCCATTTGTTGTCTCAACACCGTTGTAGAATTCGTAGTAAAATAAGGCATTTGGGTAGAGAATCCCATCATTGGGGGTGGGTTATTTCGACCCATATTATTTACAGCAGAACCAGACCTATGCACTGGCGAAAACATATTCACCATTGGATAGTCGAACGTTGTAGTTGCATTATGTAAATTAGCCATCATTGAAGTTGGCAAACCATATAGTTGTTATCTACCGTTTAAAGGCGTTGTAAATCCAGACACAAAAGGCCTGGATGAACCAACACCCACTAGATGAGGAGTTAATGGCTTCCCTTGGGTTCTCACAAGGAACAAGATAAGTCCATTATAAGCATTCGACGATACCGTTGTTGTAACAGCCCAAATTTCATTAATTAATTATTAATATTAATTAATTTAATTAATTGACTTATTTTAATTATTGGATTTATTTGGTAGAGAATTTGCGAGAAGAGAAATGGGAAGGAAAGAAAATAAGGAAGTATATAAGGAAAGTGGAAGAGAAAAGAAAAGATAGTAAGATAAAGGAAATAGAAGAGAAAGAATAGAGAAAGAGGAGAAAAGAGAAGAGAAGAGGGAAACTTGGAGAAATCATCAAGAATCAACACCAAGCTTCAATCCAATCAAGGTAAGGGTGAGAAACATTATTATTTGATCCATGTATGTGGTTATGTATGTGTGGGTTGGGGTTTGTTGTGAGTTTCCACCATTTTTTTTAAGTTAGGGCAAAATGGATTTAATCGGTAGAATCGTAGTTTAATCGGTTAGAAACTGAGAATAATGTTGTAGAATAGTCGGGTGATGTGGGGTTATGATTATTGGAACTGGTTCGGTGAGAATCGGTCGATTCTTGGAGGGAGAAGTTTTGGGACAGATTGGGGTTTCTTGGTTTCGCAGGTTCGCTGGCTCTCGCCAGGCGAGTGGAGGCGAAGCTTCGCCGAGCGAATAGCTGGTGAATAATTCCATAAAAACTCACAGTGGTCTTCGCTGGCAGGTTCGCCAGGCGAAGGTGGGTGGCGAAGGTTCGCCAGGCGAGTACTTTAGCGAAGGGTAGTGAAGCAAGTCAGTAGCTACTGACTTTGTTCGCTGGCGAGTTCGCCAGGCGAAGATCCCAGCGAGCATTCGCCAATGGCTTCGCCAGGCGAAGGGTGGCGAGCGGGACAACATTATTTCTTTTCTGATGTATCCATCTAATGGTTGTTTGCTTGGTTCAATTAGGCTAATCCTTATGTGATACGAATAGCTTGTGTATTATTGTGACCTTGTTGTGGGTAGCCTTTTTGGGCATGAATCCTAGGTTGTGTTATGTGTATTATTTGCATCGATTAGAAATACATGAGAACATAGTAATGATTATGTGTGTATTATTCGATGAATTGTGAATGCATAGTGTTGTATGCAACTGTGTGTTAAGTATGCATGAGAACGTTGTGGATATGTGTGCATGACTTGAATTACGTTAAATGGTATTAAATGTGAATGCCTTGATTTGTTGAGAATATGTTGTGTGTGCAATCATGTTGTAATTCTTGAAGGGATGAATTATTGAATGTATGGGATTAAGACGCGGGAACGGTCTTAAGTGCATTTTTGTTGGTTGATTGCATATGCATCATTTAGTCAAGAGGAAATATTTGCTAGTTTCGTGGAGACTAGTGGCTTGTCCCAAACCTAGAAGGGTGGGTTTGAAGCCTAGGGGACGGGCTTTGTTGTTATCGGTCTAAAAGGGTGGACCCGGTTTAAGTGTAAAAACTAAAAAATGATAACAAGTGTTGGTACCACATAGCATTTAGTCACATAGCATGAATGTCATTGATATATGAAATATGCTTGTGAGTGAATGTATATTGGATAATTGTGAATTGTGCATGATGAGATATGCTAGATGAATATCCATATTTATTCATATGTATGATGGGATGTATATGACTACGAAAATGAATTGTGGTGAGAAATGTGGATTTTATGTAATGATTACTTGTATATATATAATCTTATGCATTGATTATTATGGTAATATTTCTCACCCTTCTGCTGTTTTATAATGCTCTATGAGACATTGCAGATTAGATTGCTGGAGGTTTCTTTTGTGAAGTATAACTTCATTCTTTTGAGTCGGACTGCTCTGATTATGTAACACCGGGTAGTTAGGCTTGTATAACATTCTTTTGTGATACACTTGTGATGCATCAGTTGATGATGTTTTGTAACATGAATGATATTGATGAACCAATTGGATAACATGTATTTATGTGATTAAATGTTTTGAGGTAATTCAAATGTTTTATCTTCCGCTTTAATTCTAAATATCGAGATGTGGGTTTAAGGACTAAGTTCCTCTACTTTGAAAACTATCCCACTGTTGCATATTTTTATAGAGCAGGTGTTGAGTGTTTTATTGGTAATAATGTGACATACTTATTTTATACCGTATTTTAAATTATACTCTGATAAAATTTATATGTGCCTATATATATTATTGTTTTATTTGGGGGTATAGAAGGGGGTGTTACAGTTGTCATACTTACTATGGATAGAACCACTTCGGCCATAAATGTTGTGGCTGTCGTTTCCCCCGTCGAAGGAGGGGATGGTTCATTACTACTTGACAGATTCACCATTGTTACACGTACACGTCTCCTTCTTGGTATTGATTCGTTATTAGTGGTTACTTTACCACTTCTTAATCTCATGCAACGAAACTAAAGAAAACAAAAAATGAAGAACTTTTTAAATATCTCTACAAATTCTAACAAACAATATCTGTCCCACTAGACGTACCAATTTGTTTGCTGTCGAAAATGATAAACAACCGATAGTCCTCCAAAGTTACCAAGTCTTTTGTCACTTATAGGACCAACTAGATTGATCATAGGAAATGTGTTGTTATTTAGTTTTTGGTTTTAATGATCATGAACATTTATACAATGTTCTTCAAATATTCTCCAAAGTTATTAAGAGAATGTTGTGATTTCTTTTAAGTAAGAATAAAAATGTAGATTGCTGAAAGATAAATTGCTTGAAAAGAAATGACAAGTAAATGAATTGCAAGTAAAGGTAAATGACTGACACTTAAATGAATTTGATTGCAAAGAAAGATATTCAAACATACATTTTCTCTCAAAAACACTATTTTCTCACACGCAGGTACTGAGAGTAAAATATAGAATTTTTGTAAAATTGTTGAGCACACCTATTCTAAATGCTAAGTGTTCTATTTATACTAAATAAAAAATAACTGTCATCTAACGGTAATTTCGCCATAAGGCGCCACGTTCCAATCTGCATGCATTTCGTCACCTCAAAATCCTACACGCGTCTTAATAAACGAATAAGGCCAAAAGGTAGTTATTAACCTTATTTGAAATACGCCTGTCGAACCGCTTCTTCCAATGGACGTCGTCGAACTCCAATCTAGGCAAAAATCTTTCTAAATCCTAGACCATAGCTTCCTCCATACATAAATCTCTTCGACCAAATTCCCAAATACTCCTTGTCGAAAACAACATTCTTTCTCAGAATAATACTTCCAACTCTAGCAACCCATTTCTAATCTTCACATTCGTTAAACCGTCTTTGTCATTGTTTGTTGTTGAATTCATCATGTTCTTCTTTAGAATATGACTTTGAAACTTCCTAACTTGCTTGCAACATTAATGAGTGTTGAAATCTCAGCTAACACATATTATACATTTACTATATTGTCAATTTCATCTGAGTATCAATAAAACAAACTTACCATTTATTAGAGATGCATCTACGTATACATGTAACGTGTATACAAAAATGCATCTCTGAGTTAATTTATGTTTAAAATGGTCCTTTTAGAGAGGGATGAATGGGGTGTGTATTGAAATATTTCAAAAATACATTTTTGGATTATTTTTTACAAAATATATTAGTGTGACTTGGTTTTAACATTTTGACTTTTAAAAAAAATGCGTTCGAAGATGCATCTTCGAAATCTAATAAACATTTTTAAAATTTTTATACGATATTTTTCCACCAGATAAGGTGGGATAAGAAATCCCCTAAAATAAAATAAAAAGCTTGTAATATGATAATAAAGAAGGGCCATTTACTCATGGAGGCATGAGTTTGAAAGAATCCAAAAAATTTATTTTATAAATTCTAATATTAATTTATAAAAATGTTTATATATAATTATTTAATATTATATATATATATAATTTAAAAATTTTAATTAAAAAAAAATATTTTAAAACTCATTATGATTTAATTTTAAATAAAATTGAATTTCAATTATGCCATCTAATCTTTATTATCTTATCAATTCAGTTGTCCAGTTATAAAAAATGAGGCTCAAATAAATGAAAGATTAAATTCTTAAAAAAATGAAGAAAAAAAAATCAATAAATGAATTGAGAAAATTAAAATAGAATAACTAAAATTCTAATTTGGTTTGTAATTAAACAAAAAATAAATAGATTATTGTAGGAAAGTTTTCTTTAAATTCTTTTGATATTTACGAGTTGTGATCATTTACCAATTTAAATTATTTTAAAATAAAAAGATTAAAATATGACATGACATTAAATAGTACTACATTATTTTATTATATAACAATGGTATACCCAACCAAATTACTTGACTATTCACCTAAAATAAATAGGCCTCGTAAGTACTTATCTGACCGTTGCTAAATATTCAGAGGCTTTGACCACTATACCCTTAAGTTTCGTGCAAGTTTTGTATTTGTGGATGAAATCACCACACGTGAAATGTTAGAAGAATCTAGACCATCCCGAAGCAAAATTCCTTACTTATCTTCCCCCATTCTACATTCTGGATTCTTCTATTGACTCCTTATAAATAAACAACCTCTTCTCCTCCATTTTCCATCAATCTCTTCTATTTCTTTACTAAAAACAATCAATCTCTAGTAATATCAAGATCAAATTTCCAATTCATCATCATGCAAATCTTTGTGAAAACCCTGACCGGCAAAACCATAACCCTAGAGGTTGAATCCTCCGACACCATCGACAACGTCAAAGCCAAAATCCAAGACAAGGAAGGCATTCCACCAGACCAGCAGCGTCTCATCTTCGCCGGTAAACAATTAGAAGACGGCCGAACTCTAGCCGACTACAACATACAGAAAGAATCCACACTCCACCTCGTTCTCCGTCTCCGCGGCGGCATGCAAATCTTCGTCAAAACCCTAACCGGCAAAACCATCACACTCGAGGTCGAATCCTCCGACACAATCGACAACGTGAAGGCGAAGATCCAAGACAAGGAAGGAATTCCTCCGGATCAGCAGCGGTTGATCTTTGCCGGGAAGCAGTTGGAGGATGGGAGAACTCTTGCGGATTATAATATCCAGAAAGAGTCTACTCTCCATCTGGTTCTTCGTCTGCGTGGTGGAATGCAGATTTTTGTGAAGACTTTGACGGGGAAGACGATTACTTTGGAGGTGGAGAGTTCGGATACAATTGATAACGTGAAGGCGAAGATTCAGGATAAGGAAGGGATTCCGCCGGATCAACAGCGTCTCATCTTTGCTGGTAAACAGCTTGAGGATGGACGCACTCTTGCTGATTATAATATTCAGAAGGAGTCTACCCTTCACCTTGTTCTCAGGCTCCGCGGTGGTGGAGATGTATAGATCCATAAGTTTCTCTGTTTTCGTTCTCTTAATATGTAATGCTGTTGATGATTATAAGTTGAATAATTTATGAAAATTTGGTTATTTTAGATTATAGATTGTTATCAGTTGATTTATTACTAAATAATTGTAAAGTCATGAAGTTTAATAAAGTTTCAAGTTTATTAAAATTTATTATTCCTTAGTTTTTAATAGCGCACAATTCTGTAAAAGGTCCAAATTTTTCGATAACAAAAGCCTATCAATGATTTCTACCATGTGTTGCTCTTAGTTGCTTGATAGTGCTAGAATTGCATAGAGTTCATGAATTGTTGAGAAAGTTTTTGAATTTCTGTACTGTTTCTGCATTAAAAATGATCAAGTTGGCTAACTTTAGAGAAAGTACTAAATGGATTTTGGGAATAATTTGATAAGTGAGAGTAGGGTTGTTGTTGTGATGATAATGGCATCATTATAAACTAGCATGTAGATTGTACCAAGGTACCATTGAGTCTAACAGACCAGTGTTTGTTTGAGGCCATCCTGAGTCTTGTTGAGTTTGTTTGACCATGGAATTTGTTGAGTTTGTTGACCATGGAATTATTTGAAGTTCAAAGCTAGGGGGTTAGGTTAGTTCATGTACACATAGAGGAATACATTGTTAACATCAAGCAAATGTGAGAATTGTTTTGGCAGTGATTGGTTTGGTCCCTAGTGAGAATGTTTCACTAGTTATCACAGTATCTTTGGTGGAACCCTGTGGTAGCAAGTCTGACTTCATACTTGTTTATGGAGACATTAGGATTCTCCTTGACCTGAACATCTATTTGCAGCCAATGGGAAGTTAGCATGGTGCAGAGAGTCTGTTTAGTGTTTCTTGGCTCAGCATGAGCAATAAGGTGAGTAGGATGAAGTCAATAGAAGACAATGGCATTCTTTGATCTAGGTTGCATGGGATGAGTGTTAATTGGGAAGAGCTTATATTATCTGTTCTTTCTATGCCTTTTGTGCGTGTGATTTTTAGAAATCCACCCTCATTTCTTTCTCACAAGTAAATTTTCAGTATTGTCGCATTCTATTTTCTTTGACCTTTGATATAAAACATAATCCTTACAAATCGCTTTCTGTTTTTTGAATGCACTTCTCTCTAAGGCTTCATGGGTAATTCATAGATAATTTGAGATTCCTTCACCCATACATAATGTTTGGATGATATAATTTATTTTGCTTATGTTTAAGGGTAATGTATTCTGCTGGTGTGGGAGTACTTTCATACCGTCCGTTATCTAGCTCGGAGGTTAAGAACTTGTTTTTTTTTGGTGAGTTAAAGATGTTAAAGGGTGAGTTAGAGATTGTTGTTGTTTGAAAAGATTGTTGTTCAGTACATGAACATTGTTCTGAACTGAATTGGCAGGTGGCCTACAGTTGGATAAGGTCCAATTCAGTCCAACTTTAGACAAGGTTTAACAAGGAGATTAGCACAATCTAGTCGTTGGGCACCGTTGGACACATAGCTGTTAGGGAGAATAGAGTTGTTAGAGCAATATAGTTGTTGGGGACCTCCCTCTCACGCGCTCCACAATTCACGCGATCAACTGTCTCTCCGGGGACAGTTGGACCAGGTCGAAGATAACGCGCTAAAATCTTTCTTGCTCCTTGCAAACCTGGCAGTCTCTTATTGGTGGACCAGATATCATGACCCATAACGAGGACCTTGATCCCACGCTGGGAGTTTCTTATATACCCTCTCATTTGAGAGGATCAGGTATCAAATTCATTATAACTCAAACCTAAACACTTTGTACTTGCTCTCTCTCTCCCCCTCTGATTCTTACTTTAGCATCGGAGCGCCTTGCATGTACATCCTCTCCTCTCTTACAATCATCATTGTTGCCCTACGTCGAAGGCCACGAGGATCCAGTCTAATCATACCAGATCAGTGACGCCGGCTGTGGGGAACTCTGATCCCCCGTCTTTCTTGAACTAAGATCATCAATCTTTTCAATCCAAAGACTAAAGCTTTTCTTTCTAAACCTTCCTCGATCGTCATAGCCTCTCACTGTAACAATGATGTCCTTTAAGAGTCTGTTATCGTCGTCGCCTTAGATAATGGCGATAATCTCAATCCTGGAGCTGTGGTATACGAGACCGATCACAGGGATGAAATGACTGCCTCTCCATCCTCCGATAACGTGAAATCCCGCATCCAGAATTTCGATGACATCTACGAGCCCATCCTCGTTCCTCAAGACGATGATCCCAACACTGCGGCTCTCATCGCCGCCCTCAACAAACTACATGATTTTCCACTAGGGCGAGATGATCCACATGCTGGAAAATTCCCTTCAAGAACGACCTCCCTCACGGAGACCTCACCCCTTCTCCCCGTTCTCGTTCTCCCTCTCATAAACGCCAGTGAAACGAGTCTTGAAGCGTTTCTCCAATCAAGGAACGATCAAAATTGGAGAAACCAGGGCAAGAAATCACGAAGAAATGACATTGTACCTCTCCCCGAAGGACAAGACATTCTCCAGCTCCCAAGACCAGGGCTTTCGAGAAACCTCGTGAACGTCCAAGTCGGTATAAACGTTCTCTTCGACATAGCAGAAGCCCTCGTCGTAGTCGTTCCCCATACAAATCGTCGAGCATCAGTGATGAAGACGATGTGCATAGGCTTATATCCCAGGAAATCATGGACACCCGTATCCCTCGCGGCTGGAGAAACCTCCTCCTCTGGCTCTCTACGATGGCATTGCCGATTCCGGCGATCATATAGAGAACATTGAAGCCATGCTTCATTATCACAACGTAGGGAAAACAATCAAGTGCAGACTGTCCCCTATCACCCTTAGAAAGGGAGCTATGACCTGGTATAAAAATCTTCCCTGTACTCGATCATATCGTGAAGGTAAAGCTAGCGGGATTATATCTGAGTGAATCGCACACTTAAAGATACAACAAAGTCGCTACCGAACTTTATTTAGTCCCAAAGGACAGAGAAAATATAGATAAAATTCAAGGGAAGAGAAACAGGAAAGAGGGTCGGTTATGCGAAAGGAAGGTACTAGCACCTTAAGCATCCGTCGTACCCGACGGGAACCATTTCGCTTACTTCTAAGTTTGGATGAGTTATCTATCTAAAGGCTTTTAACTAAAAAAGAAAGTAGAGAGAGGAAAGGAAAAGGAAAATAACGTGTTCGCGGAGGATTGGACCTCTCATGCCTATGTACCCTCATTGTGAAATGAGAAAGTCAGAGCTCTGTAGTTCAGGGAACCAAGGAAAAGAAGAAGATGATCTGGATGGACCAGAGAGACAGAAGAAGAAGATGGAGGAAGGTGGCTCGCCAAGATTTCGCAATCTTGTACCTACGTACCCTCAAAAGAGAAGTGATAGCTCCACTGGGGAACACAAAAAAATAGAGATGACTCCACTGGAGAAAAATAAAAGAATGGCGACATGGCCGGGGAACAAGGGACAAGAATCGATAAAAGATAAGATCTGCAGAGAATTCGGTGTGTTAATTGATAGACAGTGACTAACTGAAGAAAAACAAGAGAAAGATTATGCAGGGAAAGCCAAAAGGTTGGTCTCGCAGACGGACTACGGCGAATAAAAAAAAGAGTAAGGAACCAAAGAAAGGTGTTAATTCCTAGGGGATTACGGTATATTAGCTGATAGACAGTGGTTAATCGAGAAAAATAAAAAGGAAGTGGTTTTAATAAGTAGACGGTGATTAACCAAGAAAGCGGATGTGGAACCAACAAAGGTTGTGACCTAAAGAACTGTATATTGACTGAACAAACAACACTCGACCGAATGGAAGTGTATTTGAACCAAACAAAGGTTAGTAACCTAAAGCTGGCAGTATTTGAATCAAAGAAAGGTTGCTAGCTGCAAGGGATTCAATATCTAACAGACGGAATGTGATTGATCGAAAAGGATGAGTGGTTAACCAAGAGAAGATGATTAACTCAAAAGGAAATCAGTATGTTAACAAGCGGACTGTGGTTAACTGAGAAAAGGGTGATTAACCAAGTGAAGGTGATTAACCCAAAGGGAAACTGGTTTTAATGGACGGACCGTGATTAACCAAAGAACGAGTGATTAACCAGAAACAATGATTAACTCGAAGAAAACTCAGTGTTAATAGATAAACTGTGATTAACTAAGAAAAGAAAAATGGTGTTTAACTGACAGGCAATGATTAACCAAACAAGAAGGAAAGAGAACCAAGAGAAGGTTGCAAACTCTAGTGGGGATTAGGTTTTAACAGAAATGCTGCGTTAGATCGAAGAGAAAAGGTTAACTTTGTTGGGGAAGAAGAGAATTAGGTCTTAACCGAAGGAAGGCTGATAAACCAAACAAAGGTTTTGAATGCAAATCTTAGGAAAAACCAGGGATGGTGACGACCACGAGAGAAAAAAGTGTTGAATCCAGAGGAGGAATTTAAGCCAAGGGACAAAAGTTGGGATGCAAGCGATCGAGGATCGACTCAGATGAGGAAACGAGGAAACCACAGTAAGGAGATAGAGGTGACTATTCCAGGCACAAGGTCATTCGTCCCTTACCCAAAGTAGTCAGAATGTGTAGGAATTCTCCACTCTCATTCCTTCTCTAAAATCAAAGTGTGGTGCAAGAAACGAAACGAACATCACAACGACGCAAAATTTGTACAGTGCTCCATTGCGTTGCAAATCTTCAACTCCGCGAGGGAAAAGAGAAGACAAAGCTCAAGAAGATTCAAAGGAGGAAAAAACGGGAATATCGACTAATCGAAACGAAGTTTCGATTAATTAATCAAAGGGAAAAGATGTGCTAATAATTTTTCAAAGGAATGAAAAATTGTTAAAGTAAAAAGAGAAATTATTGATTAAATAAGATTAAGTTCATTCCAAGAAGGAACAAATCTTAATGCAAGCAACGATGGAAGTAGAAAATAGTACCAAAGTCAATTAGCATGCATCTCAAACCAAGTAATCATGTGATCAAAGATTAGGCAAAAATGAACATAAACATACAA